CTTCCCGCACCGCAAGCACAGGCCGAGGTCCCGGGACCAGAGGGGAAGGCATGCCGAGGCGCACGTCCACAGAGCAGGGCGGCGAGGGCCCGGACTCACGTTGAAAGCGCCCAGGAGGAAGAGCGTGGGCTGCAGCCCCACGGAGAAGATGAGCCGCAGGATCGTGGACGCGATCAGCGCCCGGATGCCGTGGGGCTTGGGGAGCGCGATGACAATGGCCAGCGAGACGAGCATGGCCGTCCACAGCAGCCCCGACCAGTGCGGCTCCAGCGTCCCTGCAAGACAGGCGGGTCACTTAGAGCTCGCGGCGAGCGCAGGGACAGGCAGCGTGGGCTCAACCGGACCTTCTCCAGCCGCCTCTCCGGCCTATGGTCCCAGCGCTCGGCTCCAATTCCCGGCCCCGGACAGAACCCTCCCACCCATGTCGTCCCTCCCCACCTTCACTCGTGTTCCTTCCCCTGGGAGACCTGCCCCTGTCCCGGTCCCCTTAGGTCTTAGCTCGGATGTCATCCCTTGGGAAGCAGCCCCACCCGTCTCCCCAGGAGCCCGGTGCTGCTCTCTCAGCTTTTGTCCCCTGGGCACCCACACGGGACAGCTTTTCTAGTGCTCGCGTGGCACCCTACAGGCGCCCTCACGTGCTTGTTCAAGAAATAAGACAGCCCTGGCTGGCGTGGCTCAGTGGACAGAGCGTCAACCTGTGGACCAAAGGGTCCCGGGTTCGATTCTGGTCAAAGGCATATACCTCAGTTGCAGGCTTGATCCCCGACCTTGGTCAGGGTGCATATGGGAGGCAACCAGTCGATATGTCTCTCTCACATCGATGTGTCTCTCTCTCTGTCTCTCCCCTCTGTTCCTCTCTCTCTAAAAAAAATCAATGGAAAAGTATCCTCGGGTGAGGATTAACAACAAAAAAGAAAAGAAATAAAAGTCAGTTAGATTGCGTCACACTTCACAAGGGAAGGCGACGGGAACCCTAAATGTCTAATTTCTATGGAAGGCGCACAGGGGGGAGTGCAGGCCCCTCGCCTGCATCAGGGTCTTCGGCGGGGGGTGGGGGGGGCAGAGGGGGGCACCGTCCACATCGCCAGCGTCTGCTACAATCCGACCACCCCTGCGTGGACCCGGCTCTGTCTCCCCTGCTGTTGTGCTATTTAGAGCCCCACGGGCGGGCTTGGTTACATAACGTGAGCCAACGCGGCTAAAAATACAGCTCCGCACACTCATGAGGAGCCGTTTCAAACGCCGCCACATCCTGCATCCCCTTCGGCCGCAAGCGAGAGGCCCGGGACGAAGGCCGCCGACATCCGTCCACTCCAGGAGCAGGTGTGGGGGACCTGCCGGACGGAGCCTCGCAGTGCCTGCCTGCCCGGCTCTGCCCGCACGAGCTGTGTGGCTCGGGCTCAGTGTCTCACCTTCTTTGACACGGTTTCCCCACAGACACGGGAGGCGGCTAAGCTTTCTCACGGGTGCACCGCGTGCCCTTCCTTCCTGTCCATGAGCACGGGCAGGGATTGCCACCTAAACCCGTGGGAAAGGGCCACCTCGTCCTGTCTGAGGGGGGCCCTGCGACCCCATGTGCTGCCTGGGTACGTCCAGGGGTCGGAGCCGAGGTGCAGGCCGCGGCCGCCCCGCTGCTCTTCCCGGGGTCGCCCTGAACGCGAAGGCAGGTACCTCCCCGGGCGCCGCGGAACGGGTAGAAGAAGGCCACGAGCAGGTTCATGAGCACGGCCAGGTTGAAGGAGATGCTGCTCCAGAAGGACATGTTGCGGGCGCACCAGTACAGCACGGGCTGGGCTGCGGGAACGCAGGGGAGCGGGCAGGTGAGGGGGCAGCTGGGGGTCCACCCCGCACCCCACCTTACAGGCACCCGTACAGCACGGGCTGGGCTGTGGAGATGCAGGGGAGTGGGCAGGTGAGGGGGCAGCTGGGGGTCCACCCCGCACCCCACCTTACAGGCACCAGTACAGCACGGGCTGGGCTGCGGGGATGCAGGTGAGGGGGCAGCCCCCGCACCCCACGCTCACAGCAGTGGGGGCC